TTATTAAAAAGAAAACTGCAAATCAATATCCCTGAAAAAAACAGACGCAAAAATCCCTGGCAAAATATTAGTGAACTAAATTCAACAACACATCAAATGGACAATATACTATGACCAAGTGGGATTCATTCCATGATTGTATGGATGGTTAAATACATATACATCAATGAGTGTGATACACCACATCAATAAAAGTAAAATTAACAATTTGCTCATATCACAAGAGACAGAGGAAATTTTTGGTAATATTTAACACCCACTAATCATTAAAAAAATCGCTTCCATAAAGTAGGGATAGAGGAACTTAACATAGTGAAGCCCATCTATAACAAATAAAACACACAACTAACACCATTCTTGGTGGCAAAAACTGGGACACCTTCTCTCTACAGATCAGGTATAGGCAAGGCTGTTCACTCACACCACTATTCAATACAGAACTGGAAGGCACAGAGACAGCTATTAGTCAAGACAAAATTAAAGAGATTCAAACTGGAAAAGAGGTTTAAAACTACTCTTTGATGTAATAACACAGAAAATCCCAAAGACTCCACCAAAAGAGCTTTCAGAAACAGTAAACTTACACAGCAAAACAGCAGGCTACAAAATCAAAACCAACACAAAGTTGGTTACATTTCTATGTGCAAATAATTTCCTAGAAGATAAAGAATTTTTAAAAAAAAAACTCACTTATAATTATGTCCCAAAACATCAAGTACTTTAGGAATCAACTTAACAAAGGAGGGAAAAGATTGGCACATAGATGATAACAAGTCCCTGTTCAGAGAAATAGAGCCCACAAAGAAATTTAAAAAAAAATTCAAATTCATTGCTGGAAGAATTTACAAATTCTTCCAGCAATGAATTGTTCAAGTGTGCATACTTCGTAAAGCACCATATAGATTTGTGCAACCCTTATCAAAATTCTAGAGGTAGTCTTCAAGAGCTTGGAACAAATATGATTCAAATTTGTATGAAACCATAAAACTCCCTGAATAGCAAAAACAATTATGAGAAAAAATAGCTGTGAGTCATACATTGCCTCGATTTAAGGCATACTATAAATTTGTATGATATGAGAATAAAATTCGATCTCCATATCAATGAAATAGGAATGAGAACCCAGAGATAAACCCTCAAATATCTGGACAGTATATTTACAAGAAAGGATATCAGTGGACTAGATGGAAAAAGGAAAGCCTCTTCAGCAAATGCTACTAGGAGAAATGCATGACCACATACCAAGAAAAAAAAAAGGAAGAAATAAAGAAATTTCACTCCTAGTTCACACATACACAAATTAATTCAAAATAGTTTAAACACTTCAAAACTAGTCCAAAATGATTAAAATACATTGAGAGGGATATAAAGGGACTCTCCATGACACTGACTTCAGGGGCACTACTGATTTTGAAAGCTTCAAAGAAAACAAAAACAAGACTACATTAAACCAAAAGACTTGTACTTGTAGAAACTAGGTGAGAGAAACTATATCTTAAATTTAAAAAACACTGATTGAATGGGAGACAAACTTTCTATGCCAAACATACGGCGCAAGGCGATATCAAAGACATACAAAACTTCAATAAAAACAAAGGAAAAAATAAAAACCCTATCAAATACTGGGTAAATGAGCTGAACATATGCTTTCTCAAAACAGATATACAGATGCTGAAAACACATACGAAAAAGTGTTCATCATCACTGGTCATCATGGAAATGCAGGTCAAAATGATAATAAGGTATTAACCTCAAACCAGCAAGAATGGCTTGTATTAGAAAGTCCGGAAACAAGCAGTGCTGGTGGGGAACGTGGTAGAAAACGGAGCCTCATTCGACACTGGTGAAACCGTAAGTGGGTTCATTTTCTAAAGACAACAGTGGAATCTACTCAGAAAATTAAAAATAGAAATACCACGTGACCCAGTGATTCCACTTATTTGCATGTATCCTAAGAACATAAAATCATTCATATTTTAGGTAAGAAATAGAATTTATTTGAATGCTAAGATGAAGGGCCATCTGTGGATTCATTTAGAAAATATATGCAACACTGTGATGCTATTTGCAGTGGTCAAGATCAACACTTAACAACAGATTAATGGATAAAGAAATTGTGGTATATATACACAATGAAATAATATGTATATGTACCATAATTATGAAAATAATTTTATATATACGTACAAGAAATAATCTGTATATATACCACAGTGTACATTTCAGCGCTAAGAAAAGATGAAATCTTGCTACTTGCTGAAACCTGTATGGCTCAGGATAAAGGGGGAGGTCAAATGGAGGCTGAGGTGGGTGTGGAATGAAACAAAGCAAGGGGAAGGACAATGACCAATGAACTCTAGCAAGGTCACTCGCTTACCAGAAGGGGCCGAGGGATTGGCCAGTGGGGCAAGGGGTGTATCAGGAGTTGCATAAGGACGGTGGTGGAGGGTTGTTGGTGTCCTGGTGGTGGTACAGTAACTTTGCATAGTAAAAGCATAAACATTAACATAATTGCAAACCACGTGACCTCAACAGTAAGAGTAATAAAACAATTTTCAAAATCAGTGGCTGTCAGTCTTATACCCACTGACCAGCACTGATAAGTGTACTGTCCGCTGAAATCACCAATCTAATTTGCTCAAACTGCCTGAAAAATGCAGCATGTCTGAATGCTGTGGTGTGCCAGTCTGTGCTTATTCAGGGCACACCATAATTGTGTCTCATAGAGAAAAAAAAACCTATCATTAGTCTTCTTTAAAAGCATGAGAATTATGATTTTGTGATTAGACTAGAGTATAACTACAGGCCAAAGCAGGATAACTTAGCATAATTGTTATTTTAAAGCAATCACTTAAACTATCATATACAAAACCCCACTGCTTGGAATCTTAATTAAAAGAAAGAATTACTGGATAAAAATCACTTTGTTAATGGCTTTTACTGAAAAACACAGGAAGGTATACATACACACAAGAACCAAATCCAAGCATGAAGGATCAGAGTTATTAATGACTACATGTTGCAAATGAGGTTAACTCAAGCTCTTACTAAGTTAGAGATGTGTTTAATGTAACCCTGACAACTAATTTTTCCAAATTGAGTTTTCAGTAGGCGTATTTTCTGGAAATAACTCAGGAAATTATTCCCAAATTAAGAAGTGTTTGCTGAATGAAACAGTTTCCGATGCTTTTTCTTAAATAAAGTGAACTTATACATTGGCTTTTCCCTTATTTACTTAGGAACAAATGGTGTTTAAGGGGTCTGGGACTGGTGAACCTTGAGCAGGGCCAGAGCTCAAGGCGAGGGCCTGCAGATGTGCTAGTTGGCCTTGAAGGCTGGGGACACCATGTGCGATGGCCACTAGAGTCACCACCAGCAATGCCCGGAGGGGCACCCAGGGCCGCACCCAGAGAGAGATGCTTTGTCTGAACCACACTCTGAGAGTCTCATTGAAAAAAGGCACAAAACTAACGATACTGTTTTGCTTATAGTTACTTTAGACAAGGAACCTAATTTAGGAGTGAAAGAACTCTGCAGTTCTGCCAGGATTGTTGTATGAAGACTGTGTGACTGCCCTGCATGGGTCAATTGGGTTACTTTCTTAAAATCATTCTCTAAAGTCCAAGCAACCCTCTCAAGCTCCGTGAAGCTTCCTGCACTTGCTGGTCATGTTTCCACACTCAAGTTCCGTCTCAAAGCCAGACTCCTCTTCGCTACCTCACCTTTCTCTTCTCATCAGATAGACAAAACCTTCTACAACCCAGGCGACAGTCTGCTCTTTCTTCCTGGAAGACTGCTTTTGACTTTTATTTCTCCCCTGCAGTCTCTCTCCACACATTCTAAGCATTTGCATGTCAGGCTCAGCTGTTCCCAACTGGGAGCCATGTGGTTCCTGGAAGCCCCCAGGGGACCACAGGTGAAAATCACACAAAGGGGGTCCAAGGCATGAGACTAGGGAAACAGCCAGTTGGACAGAGGGTGCACATGAGGGAAATAGGTGGGAAGGAGAACACAGAAGGCAAGAGGTTGAGAAACATTGCTCCAGACAACCAAATCCCCTTCATAGCAACCCAGGATAGGGCTGTATAAAATTCATGATTTAAAAAGCAATTTAACAGTGCAAGTGTCATGTAAAAACATCAAAACAAACACCAAAACACCTCTCTGAATTGTTTTTATATCTATCACATTTATCCAAACTTGAGAAAATACAATTTAGGTTCAAAGAAAGGACGTGGAAGGTTAAAAAAATTTGTCTTTAGTATTTTTAAAACTTGCTTTAATACAAACAGTTCCTGAAAAGCAGAAGTGAAGGTGATGAATGTTATTTGGATATTTTTTTTTCACCTTAACTGACTGATCAGAAGAGTATTTATAAACTTCTGACTGATGTCTCGCGCTGATAAATCAGAACCGGAGGAGAACACTTCAAGCATATTTATCACTTAAGACAAAAAAGCTATTCTGAGCATGATTCTTTTTTTATTCATCATTTTAGCTCACCTCTATGTTTTCTTCTTTTCAAAGTTAATAATATCTGTATCAGACTTCTCAATATTTAATGTCACATCTTGCTTGTTGCCTACTGATGAGGTTAAGAACAGGTATCTGGTCCCAGCACAAAGCCAGTCAGCTTTGCAAAACAGATAGCATTCTATTTCACACTGAATCTACTTGCTCCTTATAAGCAACACTGTTAGTTTCAATGACATGAAAGTCACAGTCACAGGGCTTTTTGTTGTTACTGTTATTTTTGGCAGTTCCAAGAATCAAACTCATGGCCTCATACATACAGAGCAAGAACTCTATCACTGAGGCACACCCTGACCTCAGAACGATAGTTTGAAGGGAAATAAAAGCCAAGACTGGCCCAACAGCACAGATGCTCACAATTTAGCAAAAGGACACCCAGTGGAATCCGACTTAGGGCACTATCCAGAGCTGCCAACTGGGTCAGGACATCATGTTAGGTTCAAAGAACAGCAACACGAGAAACTTACCTGCTCATTCTCCTCTTCATCACTGCTGAGTTTAAGGTCATCTTCTAGCATTCTATAGAAGAGAACAAAGAGGGACAGATACTAAGTAACCAAAATATTTCAGAACCCAAATATCAATTTTTATTGCAATATTTTGATAATAGTGTAAGTTATTTTCTAATTATGAAAATGTTCTTTTTGCAGCTTTCCATTGGACAAACAGGTAATTATAAATAGCCACATAATGAGAAAAAAATCCTCCAAACACTCATAGAGTTCTGGGTGGGGGGCTTGAAGAATACAATATTTAAAGAAATAAAACCAAAGATGCCTTTCCTTTGGAGTTATAATCCAACAATGATCTTTTTGGTGTTTTCCAGGTGACAGGTGCCATGCTCCCCACTCCCACTTGAGACAGAATGGAGCAGCAAGTGAACTCTGCAGAGCACTATGGCTGGAGCTCTGAGCCCCGGCTGCTTAGCCTTCCACAAAGATCTGGAAAATCTGCCTGACAGAGCCTGCTACATGGGGAACCGTCAGGACAGAGTCTGACCCTCACGGATAGTTGTGGGAATCATGCTTCTGGGTCACCATTAGAAGGGAAAAACCCCTATGATTGGTGCTGTGTTAAAATCATGTTCTGATCAGCAGTGCTGAGCTGCTTCTTTTCAAGTGAGCTCACTGCAAAGAACGTGGCTTATGGCATATCCAGCTTCACGACTGAGAGCAGCCTGGTTCTGTCGGGGCGAGAAAGGCCCACTGGTGCTGGCCATGTGAGTGCCAGCGTCGCTTCAAAGGTTCTTTCAAGACCCGGAAGTCCCCTTCAGAATTCCGATCCCCACGTGTGCCTATCTCCTTTATAAGCCAGTTTTAGGCTGGCGTAGCCTCCAAATATTTTCACAACTAATTTCAGCGACTTGGGGGGTGAATGTGGAGAAAAGATATGCTTGTGTTTAGGGAAAATCTCTACCTTGCTCCATTTCTCTCTGTCTGAACAAGCACTTGGGTTTGATTCTTATGTAGATTCACGGGTATTAAATGGATATGAAATAAATTTATCCTGTTTTCTAAAGAACAAAAACCCGTATGTATGTTTTTAGGGAACATGACTGGGAATTTTAAAAAAATTTTTTTTATTAGTGAAACACCATGAGGTACAGTTGTAGATTTACAAATTTTTGTGCTTGGGTTTCGATTATGCAATGATCAAATACCCATCCCTCCACCAGTGCCCATTTCCCACCACCATGGATAATATCCCTCCCACCCCCATCCCCCCATCCCCCCTGTCTCTGTGGCAGGGCAATCCCCTGTGTTCTCTCTCTCCTTTTGGGTGTTGTGGTCTGCAAAAGAGGCATTGAGTGGCAAACATGTTCAGTCCATAGTCTACTTTCGACATGCATCTCCCCTCCTGGGAGGATCCTCCAAACACCCTTTATTTGGTGCTCCCTTCTCTATCTGAGCTGCCCTTTCCTCTAGAATGCCCGACTGGCCACTAAGCTATGGAGTAATCCTCCTGGTGCTGATCTCAGCTATTCTTGGGTATATGACTGGGAATTTTTAAGCTAGTTTTTGGTGTGCCATTTAAGCTCTAAGTGTAACGACACAAACTCTGCTTAGTCACAGGCTTCTCCACCAGGAGGAGGAAAGTACTCACAGCCCCAACAGCTCTCCCAGCCCCGAGTCTAACTGGGGCCCAGATGGCACCGAAACTCACAAGAAAGAGTCATTCATTTTCTCATGTGTCTTCTGGGTAGAGAAGCCTATTCGTGGGTTGCATACTGCTTCCTGGCACTGGTTTTGCTCACTTATATATTCAAAAATGCACTGTCACTTTGTCACTTTTGTTTTTAAAAAAATATTAACTTTTTTGTTTTGTTTTTTGGGTCACACCTGGCAGTGCTCAGGGCTTACTCCTGGTTCTTGGCTTGAGTTCAGGGGACCATATGGGAAGCCAGGGCTTGAACCTAGATGGGCTGTGTTCAAGGCAAGTGCCTTACCTGCTGTGCTGTGGCTCCAGCCCTCATTATGTCATTTAAAAATGCCTTAAAATTGTGAAGGTTTGGTGGTGGCAGAGGAACAGTAGGTTGGCATGTCAGAGGCATAAATATTATCACTATTGTAACCATGTTATATCAATTACAAAAAGTAACTCTGGTATTCTAGTACATATTATTCTAATGGGCCTCAATGACCTTCCCAAAGATAGCTTCAGTAGTTGTCAGAAAAGGAATCTGCAAAACAGTCCCTGAACCTTTAACGCTTTACTAAAAGTATTAAGGTTAACTTGATTACATTTTAACTGAGCAGTAGACAAACATATTATAGCTGATAATTTTTTGGGGGGTGGGGGGGTCTAAATTTTCTCAAGAAGTAGAAGCAGTCGCCTAACCACAACAGATGGCCAATTGCTTCTCACGACCATCTCTCTTACACAGGTATGGCCAACGCACATTAACTGTCTCCAAGTACAGTCATTTCACAGAGCAGTGGTTTTTAATTAATAGAATTTCCCTGGAATTATTTGTCACTAGGGGCCCTTAATAGATTTAAATCTTTTAGTTCTTTTAAGCTCATTTCATTTTGCTATATCTTAATGGCTTTTAAAATACCTGAGTTTTCACTGGGTTGGTTTTCAGATTTGTTTCTATCGCTGGTGCTACTGCTAGTTCTACCTACTTGAGACTGAAAACCAAAGACAAATGTTTATGTTTCCCCATTAAATATATTCACAGATGTAAACGTCTCATCTGGCCACTGCTAAGTGGAAGGCAGCTGACTTGTTAGGCAAGTTACCTTCTGCAGGTATTCCCCAGGCCGCCATCTCTGCTGCCTGGAGCACGAGCAGAAAGTCACACAACTCATTTCACTCTTTCTGAAGTTCAGTGCCCTGTGAGGGTCAGCGCTACCATCTGCCTGGATTTCTTATCTCACAAACAGGGGAGCCCCTTCCTGTCTGCCTTTGCTCAGAATTCAGCTCCTGCCCTGTGAGTCGGTTAGGAACCAGGGAGGCTGGAATAGGCCCACCCTGGGGGACTGGTGGGCTGAGCACATAGGTACAAAGGAATCACTGAGCCAGAAGAAATCTGGAACAAGACAGACGGTGGTTTAGATCTTGTTTCCAGCCCCAACTTTTCCTATTTAGCATTTTATGAAGTACATAATTTGAAGCAATATTGGTTCCCAGGAGACAGGATTTGCTCACATAAGCAAATGGTCATCATGTGAACCCTCTCTCGTGGTGTTTATGATGTTAATTATTCATAAGAACAATAAGGTCATGTAAAAATTATTATGGGCTGGAGCGATAGCACAGCGGTAGGGTGTTTGCCTTGCATGCGGCCAACATGGCCGACCCGAGTTCGACTCCTCCGCCCCTCTCGGAGAGCCCGGCAAGCTACCGAGAGTATCTCGCCCACACGGCAGAGTCTGGCAAGCTACCTGTGACGTACTCAATATGCCAAACACAGTAACAACAAGTCTCATGATGGAGACGTTACTGGGCCCGCTCGAGAAAATCGATGAACAACGGGAGGACTGTGACTGTGACTGAAAAATTATTATATTGGGGCCAGAGTGATAATACAGTGGGTAGGGCATTTGCTTTGCATGTGACTGGCCCAGGTTCAATCCCCGGCATCCTGTATGGACCCCAAAGCCCTGCCAGGAGTGACCCTTGAACACAGAGCCAGGGGTAAGCCCTGAGCACTGCTGGGTGTGACTCCAAACAAACAAAAAACATTATAGTTCAGGAAACAGGGTTACAACAGTGCTCAAGTTTCTAGTACTGATGAAAAGTCACTACGCATCCCCGCCACCAATGTGCCCTTGACTACTCCCCCACCCCCAGGTCACTTTCAGCCCAACGTTCCTCCTCCCCAGCCACAGCTACAGGTTCGGTGCATGCTGTCACTCCCTAGCACTCCCATTCCCAGGTCACCTCCCGCAATCTATTCGCTCTTCTCCCTGCACCCTGGCGTGCTCAAGTCTCTGTTCTGGTTTCTGTACTCTCAGGTCTATTACTGACCAAAACTGTTCATAACCAGGATTTGTCTCTCCCCCCTCCATATTCTGATTAAAGCGCTGTGATTTACATAGTTGGGTTTTAGGCATAAAATGCTCCATCACCAATCCCGCCACCAGTGTCAACCTCCCTCCACCAATGTGCCCAGGCTCCCGCTCCTCCTACCCCAACCAGCCACACTAACAGGCACCTTCTGAAGTCTGGTCATTAACATTTGGGTCTCATGATTTCAGTGTCCCCCACGTCTGAAGACCTCTGGTACCAGCCACAGTCATGCTTAAGACCACTTTCCACATGTTTGGACGAGCCTCACTCGTGAAAGAACTGGCAGAGGAATCCAGGTGTGCCGGGGCTGAGATCTCCAAGCCTGCTCGGATCGGAACTGGGCCTCCTCCACCCAGATCCCCCATTTTCCAGTAGCTAGGTGTTACACCCACAAACTGCCCCTGGTGCCAAGTTATCCCATTAATGGCCAAGACCCAGGGACTACAAAACCCAGCTTGGGGAAGAGAATAGTGCAGTCTTCTGCCCTTGCACCTGGCTGTCCTCACCGGGGCCCCTTGAGGGGAGCGGGTTGAGTTTCCCTCCCCGCCCCGAGCAGAGTCCCGGCAGCTGAAGACCTGCAGTACCAGCCACAGTCATGCTTAAGACCACTCTCCATACGTTTGGATGAGACTCACGCATGAAGAAACTGGAAGAGGAATCCAGATGTGCGGGACCCAGATCTCCAAGCCTGCTCAGATTGGAACTGGGCCTCCTCCACCCAGATCCCCCCTCTTTCAGTAGCTAGGCGTTATACCCACCAACTGCCCCCGGTGCCGTGTTATCCCATCAATGGCCAAGACCCGGGGACTATAAAATCCAGCGCCTGGAAGCACACGGCCGCGACCTCTTATTTGTCTAGTTCTCACTCTTGGAGAACCAGACAGTCTACCGGGTGTATCCTGCCCACGTGGCTGAGCCTGGCAAGCTCCCTGTGGTGTATTCGATATGCCAAAACCCAGTAACAATGAAGGGTCTCATTCCCCTGACCCTGAAGGAGCCTCCAA